TTTGTATATGGTTTATGGACTGAGTGTTTTCATTTGCAAATAACAATTAAACGCTGTGATTWTTTATTTAGTGATTCATATTAATCATATTATATGATAACAACTTTTGTTTTTATCGTGTACCAGTGTTAAAAATCTGAGGCAGCTAGAAATAACAATTAACGCGTATTAACATATTCCATTATATTTAACATTTACGAAGTTACCTAAGTTAGAAAATACTTTGTGGAGACTWAAAGAGTTTTTATAAGAACTAAGCCCACAAATTACTCACATGCTTGAGTCATTAGATCTACGATGAATAAATAATGAAAAGAAAAAGGAAAACGATATTTTTTTTTTAACATTTAAAACGTGCTTATATCTGAATACCACTTTGCAAATAATTCAGATGGCACTTCCATATTTATTGCAGAGTAATTAACATTTTTGATTACTATTCTAAATAGACGAAGAGTTCGTTGTAGAAAGAGTAGAAACAAGTATTGGTCTAGTAAAGAGTAATATTTTTAATGTAGTTGATTGTGAAGAAGTGTTCGATGTAAGGTGGGTTTTCAAGGGTGAAATATATAAATAGTTACTAGTCTTATCGGTGACGAGTACGGCAAAACGGATAGGATAAATACAATTTTTTAGATTTATTATTACCATGTGAAATTGATAAATTAAATAGAAATATTATTTGATAGGATTTGGTATACACGTGTAAAAACGATGAGGCTGGATTCGTTGAATCAACTAAACCAACCGATAATATAGACACCTATTACAAAGCGAAAACAAATCAATTATTAACAACAATAAAACTAAACAAAATTAATAGTATATTATTAATAATCATTAACTATGGACAATGATTTTATTTATAATCACGGACTAGGATTATTATTTATCATCACTAACTGGTTTRTTTCATAGGAATTAGCTATTATAGTTAAATCGTAACAAATAATAGTCATAGATTTATTTATTTTTAACAGTAAGTATATCATTTTAATGGCTTAAACAAATTTAATAAATGAATATTTATTGAAATTTATTTATTTTAAGTGTATTATATATGATATATCTGAGGTAATTGTTATATGTAACTTTAGGTAAGTATAAGTAGCTTTAAATGAGGTTAATAATTATTATTTTTTTCTAAAATGCAGGTGATAAAGTAAAAATGAATTGACGAAAGGATAACGTATACCCATTTTTCAATATTTATAGAACAAACTATGTTTCAATGAAAAAGTCAATACACAGATACATTACAGATACATCATACAAGTATAGGTACACAATGACGACTGACGAGATACACTCAAAGTTTCAAAACCTACTATACAGTAATGCGAGATCCCTGTTATTTTCCCTATTATATGACAACATTAGTGGGACTTCACGACGTTTGACCCGATCGAAYGCCAGCTAGTTACTGAGGATTTTAACTGAGAATATGTGCTACAGAACAGACATATTTTAATTTGTCGAAAAAGTTGATTAATGGCGTTTTAATACAAGTTACAATTGGAGATAGCTTGAAGTGATTTTTTATTTATACTCTATATAAAATGTATATTAAGAAATTTTTTGTTTTAAGAAATTTTAAGAATTTTAAATAATTTGAATAAATAATAAAYCAATACAAAATAGCTGATGCTTGCAGTTATTTAATATTTAAATTAATTAATAAGTATTGTATATCATTATATATATAATAATAATTATTATACTATGACATTAAACATCAAATTAAAAACTTTAAAAAACATTTAAATTAG